TATATTCCTTTGGAGGGATACCGGGCAATCCCGGCCCCTTCACTACAATGAGCTCCAATATTAGCAGATCTGTTTTGACAGCTCAGGGTCAATATTGGTTGGTTGGTTGGTTGGTTGCTTAGCAATATCAGTCTCTTAGTCTCTTGGTCAGTTGATATTCCTGTGGCAAAAATAGCCTATATTTTCTCAAGTTGCTGCACTGATGCTCCCCACCAAGCTTTGTTGAACCTTCATGTATCCAACGGAAAAGATATTGATGGTGTCTTCCTAAGGGATAACTAAATTGTGATTTAAATAATTCGATCCTTCTGATTAATGGTTTAAATAAACCCCACCCTGTTAATAATGCACTGTTCATTGTCTCTTCTTCCTTATTAATACACTGATGTTCCTAAATACAAAGCCCAGAAGGGTAGCTGCTTAGGATTACTGAAGCCAAAGAAACAAATAGGTTTTTTCTGACATGCATTTCTGAAGACTAGAGTCTATTCCATCATCTCAGACTTTAATTCAGTTCTGTTTGGTATTTATGTGGTTAATGGTTGTGTATCCGTAAGGGTTCTTTCCCCCCCTCTCTTAAGTTCTGGGTGACGCACAACTCCAGCTGACAATTAGAAAATGCTTAGTAAAAAGGTCAGTCATATGAGGGAGAGAGATGGGATTGTGGGCAAAGTTCATCATTTGAAGTATTTTGCGTACAGTAACAAACACACCATACTGAGAGCATCAAGCACCTCAAATTGATCTCCTATCTCATTCTCTTTCTCATGAGAAAATTTGAAATATGGGCCTGGTGTAAATTGGAGATGTGGAATTATTCAAATATCTATATCCTCTGCTTGGATGTTTGTAACCATTTTGGACTGTTTTAGGAATTGCTGCTCTCCTTGGAACTAATGTACAGGTAGTCCTCAACTTATGACCACAATAGAGTCCAACATTTCCTTTGCTAGGCAAGATAGTGGTTAAATGAATTTGGCTCCGTTTTATGACCTTTCTTGATACAGTTGTTAAATAAAACACTGCAGTTGTTAAGTTGATAGCACAATTGTTAATGAATCTGGCTTCTCCACTGACTGCTTGTCAGAAGGTCACAATAGATCAGGGATCAAACACATGGCCTGCAAGCCGGATACGACCCGCTCAGGCCATGCCCACCCTGGCCCCGCAAGGGCAAAAACAATCCTGATACGTCATGATACGGCCTGTGATGCAATCAGGTTTGACACCCCTGCAATAGATGATCACATGACTCCAGAACACTGCAATTGTCATAAATACATGCCAATTGCCAAAGGTTTGAATTTTGGTCACATGATCACGGGGAGGCTTCAACAGCCACAAATGTGAAAAACAGTCATAAGTCACTTTTTTCAGTGCTGTTCTAACTTTGAATGATTACTGTTATGCAGGGTGGATAAAAATCAATGATTTTTTTAAAAAAATAAAAAAAATCAGATTTTTTTGATTTAAATCGGAATTTTTTTATTTTTATCAAATTTATTTTAATAAAAAACTTTTGGGGTAAAAATCTATTGTAAGATAGTTTTCTATTTAAGATACATAAATAATTTAGTTTATTCAGCATGAAATGGAGCTTAGTTATGTAGCATGAGGCTGTATATTCTGCAACACTGGGACTATCGGTGAGTCAACAGTGGGTCAAAGGAGTAGCAGAGATGACAGTTGCTCTTTAAAAATTATGATTTAAATCGAGTTGATTTAAATCAAGCCTTTTTACTAGTGATTTAAATAATGATTTAAATTGTGATTTAAATCAACTCGACTTAAATCAAATCCACCCTGCTGTTATGTATCATAGGAAGTGTTATGACCATATAAGGAGTGAGTCATAGGCTTCACTTAGGTCCTCCAAAATGGCGGGAAAATACTTGAAGCTCATTGGTTAAGCTGTCTGGCAGCCCTCTATAAAAGAGGACACTGCCAGACAAGCAGGTTGTTGGGTTGCACTAGTCTACTAATAAAGAGCTGTTGTCACTAAAGAAGCTGGGTCCTTCTCTTCCATCATCGAATCTAACAGTTACATTCATTACCAAATGAATGGTTGTAACCCAGGACTACCTGGGTTCCAGGAAATTGTTACATTTCTCAATTTCTACTTTGACCTTCCTTTGTTCAACATATTGTAGGAAATGACCAGGCTGAGCCTGCAGGAGGGGACAAACGTATCATCAGTCCTGAGTCCGTTCGAGCCCACAAGAGATCTAAGTGCAGCCCACCTTAAATTCTGTTGATTCTTATTTACCACCAATTTACTTTGAGAGCTAGTAGTTCAGATTCTTGCAGAGAGCTTAAGCTTGCAATAAATTTTATATTCATGTGAACTGCCTTGAACTGCCTGGATTTCCTGATTTCCCGAGCTTGACACATTTAGTTGTGACTAAAGCAGCTTGTCCCTAGATATTTTTTGTCAGAAAGTCAAGGCCACAATCTTTTTCCTTTCCTTTTCTTTCCAGTTACTGTTGGGATAAGGAGGGTGGGAGAGAGAGTTAGTGTTGTATTCTATAATATACAAGCCAGATCTTTTGACGTAAAATTATTCTTGGCTTCAACGGAGGAAAGGCTGGGCTTTGGGAGCAATCTGCGTTTATGCAGTTTTAAAGAAGAGAAGTATCTCTGCAAGTCAGAAGACTCACAAGTGTTTAAATACAGTATTATGCTATAAAAGTGGCCATCTGGGGAATTCCTTAATTATAACAAAATCCTTTATGCTCTTGTTAAGCACCATTTAAAAATAGCAATTTAAATGTTAGTTCAGGCAGCTGGAGAACTTGTTTTTTATAAAATGCTCAAAGGCCAAAATATTGTGCCGTGAAGCTTTGTTGTGGGTAATGATACAATCTCAGTTGTAGTACTTTGAGAAATGGGCATCTCCATAGTTCCAGGATACATGCCTAATTATATAGCTCGGGACTACTCATTCTATCTTAAATAGCAGGATCTTTCCCTTTTACATACAAATAGAGTTTTCCATATTGAAAATCACACCACAATTTGTTGCCAGCTCTTTGTTCAGTGTTGTCTAACAAAGCTAAACAAAATGGAAAACAGCAAATTTTAAAGAATACCTAGTTTGGTCACACAAATATTTACAGCTGTGTCTAATTCCAATAAAGGGAACCAGTGCTACAGGACTAAAAAACTGTATTAAGAGAAGTTTTCCATTCCGCTAAATTGAAATCACATTCTGTTATGAAAATAGTTAAGTAACACACATTTTAGCTGGATGGTTTTGAACTAAAAACCTCCCCAGAATTGTACTGAGTTTCACATAACTGCAGATGGTTCAATTAGTTTCACATGATGTTTTTGTTTTGTTTTTTTGTTATAACAGTTATGAAACATTGGGAAACTTGGACTTCTACTTGCAGATAGATTCCAAGGAATTTCCAAGCTCCTTTGAAGATATCTTCAGTGTTTCATTATTATTATTCTCTTCAGCTGTAATGCCCAAGTTAATACGTAGAGCAGTGATGGCGAGCCTTTTTGTCACCGAGTGCTGAAATGGTCGCGTGGAAACGTCGCTCGCACACACACACGTTTGCTGGGGCCATGCTCCGGAAAAGCCAAATTTCCGGGTTCTAGCGCACATGTGCACCCGACAATCAGCTGGCCGGTGTTCATACACAGGCAGGTTTTTGGCACTGCCATGTGAACGAAGGGATCGCACTCTGGAAAAGCCGAACTTCCGGGTTCTGGTATGCATGCACACCTGACAATCAGCTGGCCGGCACGCATGCGCACACCAGTTTTCGGCACTGCCCCGTGTGCAGACAGCTGATTGTTGCATGTGCATGTGCACCAGAAACCCAGAAGACAAACATGCAAGGCCGCGGCACCAAGTGACATGGCTTCGCATGCCACTTTGGGCACACGTGCCATAAGTTCACCATCAGGGATGTAGAGTCTATAAGGAAATCTCAGGGTTTCAGGCTATATCCCGGGGTGGGCAACTATGGCCCCTTTACGACTTGTTGACTTCAACTTCCATAATTCCTGAGACAGCAAATAGAAGAAGGCAATGGTAAACTATGTCCATAATGTTGCCAGAAAACAATATTTTACAGAATATTTTACCTGTGTAGTATGTCCCAACTAGATCAGATTTGGTGCATCCACAAACTGAACTAAGCTGACAAATGAGCTGTTTATACAATCTATGGAGCATTTGCAGTCGCTAGCTGCACTTAGAGTTCAAAGCCTATGTTTATATATGCAATAGGTTGAAATGCTACTCACCCTCCCCCCTACATTCTTGAGACCATTTCATCTGGGACAATTTACAGATACATCATACTATAATTTTGTCTAGATAGTTATCAAAGCTTTCTATGGGGGCTCTGTAAAAAGGATTCACCAAAGATATTATTATAACAACAATGTAGAAGATGAGCAGACCTGGAAGGCAGGATTAAATGTGTCATTAGTTTGGAATCATTGTACAGCCACAAGAGACCTAAGTCCACCCCCCCCCACCATAAATACTTTTGAAACTTATCTAGTGCCAATTTAGGTTTGGCCATTAGTTGATCAGGTTCTTGTGTATAGGTAGCAATAATAAACTCTTCTGTGTCAGGCACAAGAAATAAGGTTGTTTAAATGAGTACAAGTTTATTCCATGCTAGCTCTCTACAAGAATCTGATCTACTAAGGAACAAGTCAAATTGGTAGATTAGAGTCAAGGAAATTCAAGGTGGGCTGGATCTAGATTTCTTGTGGGTGTGAAGAGACTCCAAACTGATAACATACTTGACCTTTCCCTCCAGCTCAACCGGATCATCTCTTGCATCCTGTACTTTGAACTCAGTGAGTGTTCCTGGTTCTTTGCACCTGAAGCAATCAGCTTTTAGTGTTGTTAGTAGTTTTCATAATTATTTTTAAATGTGCTACTCACTGTGAAGATGTTTTCCTTAAGGATTTTGTAAAAAGAAAATGAACCCATCACCTAAATACACTTTTTCCTTCTTTTTACATTGCAGTACAGAATTGGACAGCTGTACATGATCAGTAAACATAGCCATGAGCAGAGTGATCGTGGAGAAGGTGTGGAAGTGGTACAGAATGAGCCCTATGAAGATCCAAACTATGGGAATGGTCAGCTGACAGAAAAACGAGTCTATTTGAACAGGTAAAAATTCCTGTAAGCCTTCTGCTGTTGCAACCTCCCCTAATGCATATGCAGCTTTGGGAAGTAAGCTGTGGCTCTAGTGCACTTTGCACCAATCCTCTGTTTGTGGCTTTATGAGAATCACACGTTAGGACATACCCTGAGAATGGCCAGGACTCCTATAAATTACATGCTTCCTGATTCAAATATATGGCCAGTCGCTTCCTTCCTCCAACGTTAAAAACATCGGAGAAAGGAAAGTTTTGAAAATGAACAGAGCATGTCAGATACTTAGGGGTTCATACATTATGCTAAGTATAAAGTAGTGAAAAAGCAATTGAAATTATAAATAAAATTAAGCAAATTATGGGGGGGGGACACAGAACAGATAGTCCTCGCCATACAACAATTCGTTTAGTGACTGTTCAAATTTACACCGGCACTGGAAAAAAAAAGTTATTTATGAATGTTTTTCACACTTAAGACCATTGCAGCATCCCCGTGAGCCCATGATCAAAATTTAGATACTTGCCAACTGGCATGTATTTATGACATATCCTGGGGCCATGTGATCCCCTTTTGTGACCTTCTGACAAGCAAAGTCAATGGGGAAGTTATATTCACTAAAGAACTGTGTTTCTAATTTGACAACTGAAGTGTTTCATTTAACAACTGTGGCAGGAAAGGTCGTAAAATGGGACAAAACTCACTTAACAGCTGTCTTGCTTAGCAGTTGAAATTTTGGGCTCAGCTGTGGTCACAAGTCGAGGACTAGCTGTACTGTATGTGGTCTGGATCATCAATGGGAATTGGTACTGATCAAAACTTGTGCAATTTACAGGTTACACTTATCAATATTTGTGCAGATTTGTATGAGCAAACCCCCCACAATCTCAAAGATTTACCTCAGGGTGTTACGTAAACAAACTCTCATTGAAATCCAACATATGTGAATGCTTGAAGATAATTTTATGGAACTGAGTATGATCATGCTAGACTTTTTGCTCAAAAGGAATCAGAGATTAATTTGTTCATTATTTCCATGGTTTTCAGACTACAGTATCTGATGCATTAGATACAACAGAAGAGAAAATGATATTGCTATAACTTGAGGCTCAGCGAAGTAAATACATATGAAACTCCCAAATCAGTAACAAAAACCTTTGCAGAGAGAAAACTTGCTTTTAAAATAAAATTATTTTTGGTACCAAGGTCAAAATCTGACCTTGTTTCCATTTGTTCAACATCAGCAACTTGGATAAAAATCAGTCTGGCTCACAGCATACGAAGAACTGCTTACGACAGGAATATCCAACCTAGCTTCCTAAGAAATATATTTTAGCGAGCTCCTTAGGCGGCAAAATATCTTGGTAAAGAACAGCACCATCATGAATGATTACTAACCTTGTACATCACTGCCCCAAAGCAGCACTATTAATGATTTATCAAGTGAAATACTTTTTCTTGTCTGATACTTTCTTAAACAAAGTCTGCATATTTTGTAAGATACTTAAATCTTGTTACTTTTACTGTCGTTCAAGAGATATATTGTGGTTTCTAAAAATGGTACATATTGCTTCATCTACCACTGTCATTTGATTAGTGGTGGTCTAACTAAATATTGATGCCTTCCTCTTTTTTTTTTTTTGCCTTGAAGCCTGGGGTCCATTGACTTCTATTGAGCTTGTGACCTTGATAACAAACATAGCAACTATATGCCCCTTACATCATCATGCAGTGCAGCCCTAGAATCTTGATACTTCTGACCTTTTGTAAGTGTAGCAATTATACTACAGGCTATGTTCAAGTTGAAAAATCTGTTGAAGCAAAATCTTCCTTTAAGCTTGACCACAGCATTGCCCTCCAACGAAAGCCGAGTGTGTTAATCAGCCTCGCGCACAGACGTCTCATTCCAAGCATGGCTAGAAATATATCTTTATCTGACTGAAGGAAAACGAAGAACCTATTGAGATAAATGTTTTGGAAGGGACTGTCAGAGCTTGCGTAAGACTGGATGCTTGCTAATTTTTATTGACCTCAGTGGAACAGCTAAGTACCAACAAAATCGAAGAGTTACCTGCCAGGATGAAATCTGCCAGACTTGGTTTGTTCAAAAAAAAAAAAAACCCAAGAAAGTCCAGTTGCCTCTTGAAAAGCATTTTTGTGATAACCATGACCTGGATGATTGAGAATCTCCATAGACATTTGCCAGGCTGAAAGTTTGTCTCCAGCAAGGCCTGATGTTACCAAAAAAAAGGGGGGAGGGGGAAATACTTTAATCAAAAAAAGTATACAGAAGAATGCATTCAGTATAATTCCTCATCCACAAATAATATCAGGGAAAAAAACCTACATTATAATCCCACAAAGAGAAATAGTTTCTTTAAACCAAGCACTAACAAGGCTTGGAGGCCACAGTATAGGCCATGGGTGTCAAACTCGTGGCGTCACATTGCTGTCACGTGATGTTTCGTGATGTTTTTCTCCTTTGCGGAACTGGGGTGGGTGTGGCCTGTGCGTGACGCATCTGGTCCATGGGCCGCCCGTTTGACACACCTGGTATTCTCACTTGCCTGTGAGAATAAACTGGATCAGGATTTTACCTCAGAACATCTGTTTCACATCTATATTTCAAGTTAGGCATTGCCATGTAGATCTCCACGTAAAATAGCCTAGTTCTAATCAAAAAACTTTATTTGACACAGATTGAAGATTGCACAATGTTGTTCTTATGAATTTTGTCTTAATTGCTTTTGTGATCATTTTATCTTTATTAGCGTAGAGTGCTGTAGAGTAGGAGGCTTAGCACCTTTGCTCTAAATAATTTAACTACTGCGGGACAGAGTTATTACCATTTGCAATGAAAAAATAATAAGTATAATGTTCTAAGCCTTTGGGGCACATTTATTGTAATTTCTCAGATTTTGTTGTTTCCAAGTACTAGGAAATTGCAAGTGGATTGCTAAATATTTGAAAACTTTAATCTGTCTAATGTGGACACCATTTCCCCCCCAATTACGATGCCAGTTGTTCCAATATGACCACCTCCATTTTAGAGTAAAATGAAGGGTTTTTTTAATGGCAGAATATTGCTAATGGCTGGAGACTCTGGGCATAGGGTCTCTTTCTTAAGAAGGGTTCCTTTCAAATCTGTTATTCTGTTATCCTAATCTCTGCTGAAGGGTAAACTGAGTCATGGAAAGAATGATGGCTTCATCTGCAGAATGGAAGATGGAAATGGGCTGATGGGGAATTTAAATTTTGAGAAAGCCTGTACTATGGGATTGATATACAGGTAGTCCTCGATTTACATAAATTCATTTAGTGATCGTTCGAAGTTACAACAGCACTGAAAAAAGTGATTTATGACCATTTTTCACATAGCTGTTGTGGAATCCCCATAGTCATGTGATCAAAATTCAGTTGCTTGGTAACTGACTTATATTTATGATCCTTGCAGTGTCCTGGGGTCATATGATCACATTTTGCAAACTTCTAATAAACAAAGTCAAGGGAGAAGCCGGATTCACTTAACAATCGTGTTACTAATTTAACAACTGCAGTGAGTCCTTTGTGGCAAGAAAGGTTGTAACATGGGGCAAAATTCACTTAACAATTATTTTCATTTAACAACATAAATTTTGGGCTCAATTGTGGTTGTAAGTCGAGGATGACCTGGAATAGTTAAATAAGAAGGGCAATGATGTTTCATTATTTTAATAGTCTTTAGAGTGGGGAATGGTAGAGAAGGATTTCATCATCAAAGCAAGTAGGAATTCTCATGCAATGCCATAATTGGTCAGAGTAAATGGTGATCTGTAGTTCTGGTCATCAATCTCTGTCTAGGGATTAAATCAAATGCTATCTTCAGCTCAAGAGAAGGCAGCACAGGGAGTTTTTCATCCATTCTGCTAGATGTTATGCAATGCATTGGTCAAAAGTTGATCCATGAGGCTGACTTGTTCTTTAGCTGGCGCCTTTGCTTAGATAATCCAATCAAGGAACTTATTATAGAAGAATTTAGCACACAATTTACTTTATTAAGCAAATTAGGCCAAAAGTTAGTGGGATTGAATTATTGCAATTGGAATTGTTATAGATTGACCCGCTCTCTGCCCATCATGAAGCAACAATCAATATGGTAAATAAAAATGCCAGCAGAGGATCACATTATTCAGGATTGTGTGCATTCTGCTTAGTCTGAAGTCCACACCCCAGATAGCCTCAGCAACTTTATAATTTTTCAGATAAACAATAGATGTTGGAATTTTCTGGATTGATGACAGAAGGCCAGTTAAGGAGGGGGCCAGAAGTCACCAGTTGTAAGGTCTGCCTCATTATTATTAAATAGTTCATAGAAGTGGTTGGTTTATACTGTAGGTAGGTTTAGAATCCTGGCCCCGGAACTGAATTCGACATCAGAAGACAGGAGAGCTTTGTTCTTGGGCTGCTTTGTATCGGTTTTTCCCAGTTGGCCAATTGTTGTATCAATTTCTCCCCCCCCCAATTGCTTTAGATTCTTTTTTAAGACACAAAGGTGAGCCAGTTTAGTCTAATGCAGTGGTGGGATTCAAATAATTTAACAACCGGTTCTCTGCCCTAATGATTTCTTCCAACAACCAGTTTGCCAAACTGCTCAGAAAGTTAACAACCAGTTCTCCCGAAGTGGTGCGAACTGGCTGAATCCCACCACTGGTCTAATGGATAAAATGCTGGCCCTGAAACCAACAGACTGTGAGTTCTAAGCTTGCCTTAGGCATGGAAGCCAGCTAAGTAACTTTAGGTCAATTTCTCTCTCCCCCCTCCTCTCTCAATCTCTCTCTTCCTCCTTCTCTCTCTCATTATTTATAAAAATAATAAAGGTGGGTTTAAAAAAAAAAGTATCCCGAGAATGTTGTTTACTGCCACATCCAGCCTTGTTGTTCCCTTTTTCTTATCCCCAGACTGAAAGTTTAAGTCGTCCTTAGCTGTAGTCTGATAACAGCCACAAGGTATGTGAAAACTGTAATGGTTTGCCACAT